CCAACTTGGGAAATAAAAAAAAAAAAAAATGTAGCATGAATTGGAGTGAACATTGAATTTTGACCTGTAGAAACCTATTGCACCCTAATTTAATCTTTGTAAGGAATAAAAACAATACTTCATTTTTGCTTTCAGACATTAGTACACTTATCCAGTGGGCTATAGCAGGAAGGTGAAGGCTGCAATCACCGACATAAGTAGCAATGGTGGCGGTTATAAACACTGCGCACAGGGTACATGCTGCTCTGAGGCACAGAAGTCATATGATTTAGCTGGAAAGGTAATGTAAATATTCTTTGTGCCTACTGTAGGGTTACCATTTAAAGGTCACATGCATTCAATAGGTGAAGTCTAGGTGATCACTACCTGTTCAGGGCAGATGAATACCTGTTTTATGAATTTGCTGTGAATTAACCTTTCATTTGCACTTCCCCTTACTACTTACACATTGAAGAGCTTCCTGTCCGCTTTTACAGACCTGTTTTTTCTTATAAACTCACAGGCAGAGTGTCGAAGAGAACAATATGAACAGAACGGATACAGTCCAGTGCTGACTTTCTCAATCTTTTTACCCCAGAGGAACCCTTGAAATACATTTCAGGTCTCAGGCAACCTCTGCTAAGAGCAATTTCATCAGGGGTCGGAGAGAAAAATGCCCCTTACATTGATTCTCAGAATGCCATTTTTACAGACACATAAAAAAGATCATTGCATCATGTCATGGCCTCTATCATAATTCTTGGTTATTCCCACCATAAAATCATAATTTATATGTCAAGAGGCAGGTCAGCGTGTTAAGTAAATGCATAACAAGGGAAGTAAACTGTGTTCTTGAATGTAACTGTCTGCTATGTACAGTTTGTGTCCAAAATTATTCAACCCCCAATGCTGTAAAGGGGTTTAGGGACTATAGTGTACATTTGGAATTGTATTCAGAATCAAATCCTACAAGGACGTTGTAACTACCCAAATGCAACTAAAATGACATCAATTGTTTATGTAATACAGTAGTAAATGGTTCTTTATGTGGTTTCTTCATTGCCACAATTATTCAACCCCTTATAAAGACTACCACTCTGAAGAACAGAGGTTCATACAGGTGCTTTCCATCAGGTATTGAAAACACCTGTGGATGTCACCGAGCAGCAATCAATGCATAATAAGCACCAATTAGGCAGCTTTAAAATGACTGTGATACTCAGCTCCTTCTAGACATTTACTGGTGTGGTTACAAACATGGTGAAGGCAAGAGAATGGTCCAGGAAGACAAGAGAAGAGGTGATTTCTCTTCACAGGAAGGGCAATGGCTATAAGATGATTGCAAAGATGTTTAAACATACCAAGAGACACCTTAGGAAGCATCATTCGCAAATTCAAGGCAAAGGGCACTGTTGAAACGCTACCTGGTCGTGGCAGAAAGAAGATGCTGACTTCGACTGCTGTGCGCTACCTGAAGCGTAGAGTGGAGAGAAGTATGTGACTGCTGAGGAACTGAGAAAAGATTTGTCAGATGTGGGTACAGAAGTTTCAGCCCAGACAATAAGACGCACACTGCGTAATGAAGGCCTCCGTGCCAGAACTCCCAAGGCGTACCCCCTTGCTCTCCAAAGAATAAGAAGAGTCGACTGCAGTATGCCAAAAGCCATGTGGACAAACCACAAAAGTTGTGGGATAGTGTTTCTGTGGACTGATGAAACTGGGCCCATGGATCAACGCTATGTTTGGAGGAGGAAGAACAAGGCCTATGATGAAAAGAACACCTTGCCTACTGTGAAGCATGGTGGAGGGTCAATCATGCTTTTGGTCTGTTTTGCTTCTGCAGGTACAGGGAAGCTTCAGCGTGTGCAAGGTACCATGAATTCTCTTCAGTACCAGGAGATATTGGATGGAAACGTGATGCAGTCCGTCACACACCTGAGGCTTGGGAGACGTTGGACCTTTCAACAGGACAATGATCCCAAGCATACCTCCAAGTCCACTAGAGCATGGTTGCAGAGGAAAGGCTGGAACATTTTGGAGTGGCCATCGCAGTCACCAGACTTAAATCCGATTGAGAACCTCTGGTGGGACTTAAAGAAAGCAGTTGCAGTGCGCAAGCCTAAGAATGTGACTGAACTGGAGGCCTTTGCCCATGAAGAATGGGCGAAGATACCCGTAGATCGCTGCAAGACACTTGTGTCAAGCTATGCTTCACGTTTAAAAGCTGTTATAACTGTAAAAGGATGCTGTACTAAGTACTAAGATTGAATGTCACTTGGGGGTTGAATAAAACTGATAATGCTGTGAGCACAGAAAAGACATTTGTGGTTATTTCATTATAACTGTTATGTTATATTTGTCTGACCTACAAGTGCCTCTTTTAATGTAAATGTAAGCAAGATGACTGAATGATCAAAAGCAATGTCAAACTGGCCAAAACACTCAATTTCAGTGGGGGTTGAATAATTTTGGACACAACTGTAAGTGTTTGGAGATTCTCTGACACATACTTTATATTTCTTATTTTAAAAAACCTGCTTACATTTCAACTTGCTGTCTGCAAGAGATGATTCAAATTTTACATTCAATAAATGCTGCAGTCACTGGCATATCTCATCATCTATGGCAAATGAATGAAGATGTATTAGATTTCTCAGTCTGATGGTTTACATTATACAATGCTAATTTAATACATTGGCTGTGTTCTGCTCTAATTGCTAGGGCAAGCTGAAAAAGAAAATATCTGACATAATGTAATAGGAAACCCTACTTTTGATCCCTTTGCCATCTATGTGATACAGCAATGAGTTTTTTTGTGCTACTGCATGCATCTGTGAACATTTTAAATGTATGTTTTTTGTACATGCATTGATATGCGCACGCAGCCCTTATGTGTCTTTTAATAGCAGACCAATACATATTTTCAAGTATCTCAATGTGTTTCATGAAAACAAAATCATCAAGATGCAAGTAAAACGCACACTGCCAATTTTTATAAAGTAGAGGTGCTTTTTGCTGCATTTCTTGGTGCTTCTACTTAGTGCTACTAATCCTAGGACCCTGCAGTAAACAGAACATGGAAATGTAATTATTTTAGTAAATATAAAATGCTAAATACATTTTCTCATCAGTGGTTCGAGCAATCTTGTGACTTCTATCAGTGTTCAGCAGAGCACTGGTTAAAGCTTGTAGGAGGAGTTTTCTTTCTGCTCTAGGAGGATGCAGAACCCCCGACCTCTGTCTGGACAGTGCTGATTGGCCCTGTGCTGATCACATGCACTCTCCCAAGAAAAAAAAAAAAACAACCTCTCTAGCAATACACACTAAACTGAGCATGTGCAGAATGGCTATGGTTCAGTCTGTCTTATCAGGAGATAAGACGTGGACATTTGAACAAGAAAAGGAGCAGAGAAGTCAGGATCAAATGACCTTTTTACACAATGCAGAGGATTAACTCCTTAGGTTCGACAGTGAGTATACCAAGCATGTTTTAATGCACACATAGACTGATTTTACTGATGTGTGTTTAGTAACATTTTAAGAAAATAGATTGTTTTTAGTGAGATATGTTCACTTCAGAGAGTTGGGAAAAGAATACTGTTGCAGAATTTTATATTTCTGGTTCTGCATTTTCCCATCTTTTCAATTGATTTGGGTCCAGTTTGTAAAAATGTGTCTATAACATGAATTAAACTGCATGCACCTGGTGCAAATGTAACTTTACTTGGGACCCCAATGAAGCAGCATACTGACATTTCCTATACAGAACTAAAGGGGAATAATAGTGGTTTTGTACATAGTTTATTTATTAAGGTAAATATGAAATACTGTATATTGAAAGTATTGTGATCTCATATCAAGCCTACAGCTGGAGATATCTGCTTCTTTCTTTCCAGTTCCTCCTTATCACATGTTTACATAATTCAGGGGCTCTGGCTAAAATTTAAACACACAAGTGAATGAGTCTGAGCAGTGACTCATTTCCATCCCTGGCAGGATTTTAATCAGAGACAGAGGGGCTGATTTACTAAAACCGTAAGAGTGCAAAATCCAGTGCAGCTGTGCATGGTAGCCAACCAACTTCTAACTTCAGCTGGTACAATTAAGCTTTGACAATAAAACCTGGAAGTTGATTGGTTTCTATGCAGAGCTGCACCAGATTTTGCACACTCCAGTTTTAGTAAAGCAACCCCAGAGTGTCAGAAAGGAAGCAACTTCTATTGTGCGCAATCGTTAGAAAATACACATCCAATGTTGTGGAAATTGCAGGTCACAGGTGAACCCTGTATTCAATTTGTAAAATATAGAGTGTGTGTGTGTAAAACATTTACAAACCAGTTTTAAAACTTAGAAATAGTGTAATTAATCATATTTATTTCACCAGACTGTCAACTTTTACAAATAATTTTTTTGCAAACAAAATTTATTTGAAAACATTCACAAAGACAAAATTTCATATAGAAAACAATCAAAAACAACCGTGTCCATAGCAAAAGTCTGAACAGAGGTGCGATGAGTTGGCTTCAGTCAATAATGGACCTGTTGAACTGAAAGTGGACCTATTCTCACCTCGGCTCCAGTGATGCAGCATCCCGCTGCTCCCCGACCGCTTCCGGGTCTCGATCGCCGGTCGCTGTCATTGGCCGTTGGGGTTGACATCATTCCAGAGCATGTGTGGGAGTACAGTCAGATTCAACATTGTTGAATTCGTACAGTGAGTTGCACATGCGTGGCTCACTGCACAGAGGTGGTCAGGCAGATAGTAACAAAGCATGTCTCTTCTGCATTAAAATTCCTCCTTCTTCACCATTTGATATTGTTTTTAACCTTAAGTTCCAATTGAAGTTCTTTAAAATCTTGGCTACATTTCCTATTTCAGGTAAAAGTGTAGTGTACTTACAAATTTTTACAGATACAATATGTATAGAGGTTCAGATGTTTTCATACCAGAAAAAGTACATTAAGGTAAAATGTACAATCTATTCTTATATAAAATACTTGTTCATAAGCTGTGTAATATTTTAACTGCTTTCAGAGAAAGCTTTTAGTAATATATCTGCTGCCAGGCTGGGTGACAGGACACCAGTGAGGACCTGCCCTTCCAGGAGAGGTAGCTTATGTTTAACAGCAGGATGGTTCTTAAAATGTAAGAGAACGTTCTCCTGAATTAAGTTCCACATCCACACCTTTTGCTGAGCCCTGCGCCTGGTTAGCAGTTCTGTGCTTTCCAGCATGGTGCTCTGAAAGTCTGTCATTTTCTTCCACAGTTCTGGAATGCCTTCTCCAGTCTTAGCAGAGATACGAACAACCTGGAGTAGAAATTGAGATTAAATGGTAATATCTTCTCCAACACAGCTGAATCAAGTGGAACAACTATATGGACATACGTATTCAATAAGCAAAAATGACCGCACGTAATATAGGTGCACTAAGCAATAACCAGTCAGCAGGCATGCTGGCTGCATAACCTGGAAATAACTCACATGATGATTTGCTATGTTATAAGGAAAATGTAGAAATGTTAATTGTGCCTAGGCAGAACCCAAAATGAACATTTTGTCTAAATTCCTCCAAAAATACTGCCCTTACTGGTATGTGAGGGTGCCTAAGCACTCCTGTATATATGAACTGTGAGATGAAATGCTCTGCTACCTCAGACTTCTAGTCTCAGGAGATTTGGCGGGATGTTTGGGAAGGTTACTGCTGTGCTGCTCACTCTTGTTTCTGCTGGAAGCTCTGATATAAGGAAATGACTCTAACAAGATGGCCGCCAACACAGCGATTCAATGCAGAAGAAGGCATGGAAAGTCGGTAATGCGGAAAAGGTCAGATGTCTGGAGACCACAGGCAATGCTGGCAATTTTGTCCTCTGCCTGCTTTTTGGGCACAGCTTCCTTTAAGACCAAAAGTCTGGTTGCATTGGGTTGAGGCGCATACTCCTTCACAGTCTGGTAAAGATTTTCTAGAACCAAGCTTTGTATTAACAGTAACTCAAGTCTTTTAACAAAAAAAGAACAGTAATAACCAATGCCATCTCCATCACACACCATTATGGGTACATAGGATATGAAGAATTCTATTCTAACTGTATATCAGCAACAAATCATGTTAGCATGGAGGTCTTGGTAAATCTGAAACGTATTTCAGTGATTTTTATAATATTGCTGTAAACATGTGCTCAGTACACAATGCACATCTTACCAAAAACATTTAAGCAAAATTGTAATAAAATCTGTATGGGAAAGCCATCAAATTATTTTTGTCTTTTTATTGTTGCATGACAGGCAGACAGTACAGTTTATCATATAACACAGATATTTATAGTTGTGAGAAAAGGTTTATGAACCACCTTGGATTCAGCTGGATTGTGGCATAAATGGCTCCTAGTAAGCTGATCCTGTATTTAGCCACAGCATTATAATGGCTCATTTGAATGGGTGCTGTTTTTCTGTGTTTGACGTGCATTTATATTGCACCTCAAAGGCGGGTCAGCAGAATCCCATTGACTTTAACTGAGCAGTACACACGGCAGTTCAGAGGCAGTGTTTGACTTACTTTGTGCTGTGTTTCTATGTCCTATGAAGAAGCCTTTGAGCTACAAGCAAAGCAGGTCAATCATAACCTTTTCTTGTCAAATGTTGCGTTTTCCATTTGAACGCAGAAGCATACATTTTAAGGGAAAAAATTGCTGTTTGACTAGAATGCCAGTCAACATGAGCCCTTAAGATTTCAAAATGCTAGAGGCAAATAGTGTCTATTTTTCTTTTTGTACAAAGTGTATTATACTAGGGTTCATGTCAAGCGGTGTTTTAGTCATACACTACATTTTCCATTCAAATGCATGCAGCTGCGTTCAAATGTAAAACACGGTGCTTGACAAGAAAAGTCTGCATTTGACCTCCTTTGCTTGCAGTTCTAATGCATCTTAATAAGACACACTCGGGTGAATTCACAAAGGGTGTCATAAACAGCCTTTAGAATTCCATTGGGACGCAACACTGAAAGTGCTGGTGCCCAATTCATGTACCTGTCAGACAGATACATGAATATGTCCGTGTCTGCACTGCAGAAATAGCGTCCACATTGGACATTCCTTCCTCAGAGCACTTACTCCCATCCACTGCGCCTGTCACACTTACAGCTGCATGGCCAAGAATTTTTATACTAGGGATGGGTGGTGCCTGATGAGGAACCAAGACAATATTTCCCCATAAGGTCTGCTTCACTTCTGATTGACAGTTTATGGAAGTGGGCTGATCCATAGCAGTTATTCAGCCCAATAGCAGCTTTCAAATCCACCCACTGCTGTGCGCAGTCAATCAAAAATAAGGCGGACCTGATAGGGAGCTAGTCTCTCAGCTCCCATCAGCCTCCACCCCACCCAGTCATGATTCATTTTCCAAATTTGGGTAATGATATCATCTGTATCCTCAGACCTTTTGTTTATATTTAGCTTTTGGCCTGGGAGTCTCCTGGCTGATAGCTAAATGGGGCCGAAAAAAAACGATTCTCAGCACAGGCACTGTCCGCTCTGAGTATTGGTGTACCTCAGTACACCATATCAGAGTTGGTCATAATTACTGCAAGTTCCTTAATCTGAGAACTGGCGATAATCCTTTAGGAATCTGTCACTATGTCACTATCTGATTCTACAAATTCTTAAAGTAGTGGTAGTAAGAACTACCTGAATTTGCCTGGTGTTACTAATGTTACTGACACAGGAGCAAATGCTTGCCTGAATTAGGTGCAAGTGTTTCTTAATGGAGCTACTGCCAGAAATCTGCATTAAGGCTATATTGAATTCCCCCACAATCCATGAATGTGTCCAATGTGAGCAGGAAGCAGGCCAAAATTCAGCTTCTAAACTGCCATGAGTACTGCTCAATTAAAATCAGTGGGATTTTGCTGACCTGTGTTTGAGGCGCATTCCAAAACACATGAAACGTAAGAAAATAAATGCCTACTGACATGAGCCCTACTATTGAAAAAAAAAAAAAAAACACCCAAAAACAAACAATGGTCACTGGATGCAAATCAGGCGCTCTAGTCAACTCAAGTGTGAGTTTGCTTTACGGCCTAAAAAAGCCCACCAATTTGGTTACCTGCTTTTCAATATGTTGACCTTCCAAGAAGCATACAAGGGGATGATGTACAAACCTCAAATGAGTAAGAGACCTAAGTGACAGCTAAGGATCTGCAGGCATCACATTTAAGTCTACTATAAGAGGAGGAAACCACCATTCTCCAAAAGTACACTGCTATCTGGCTTCCAAGATGTCTAAGGAAATTCTAGAATACAGGTCTGATTTATGGATTAAAAGCCAAATGGTTCAAACAGAGGTCTATATTTTAGAATGGTTTGGTTAAACTGCAGACAATGTAACTAATATACTATTTGGAGAATAACACTCTAAAATGGACAGACAGACACACACACACCCCTTGAAATTTTCCACATTTTGTCATGTTACAATCAAAAACGTAAATGTATTTTATTGGGATTTTATGTGATAGAACAACACAAAGTGGCACATAATTGTGAAGTTGAAGGAAAATGATAAATTGTTTTCAAATGTTTTTACACATAAATATCTAAAAAGTGTGGCATGCATCCATTCAGCCCCCCTGAGTCAATACTTTTTTAGAACCACCTTTCACTGCAATTACAGCTGCAAGTCTTCTTGGGTATGTCTCTACCAGCTTTGCCCATCTAGAGAGTGACATTTTGCCCATTTTTCTTTGCAAAATAGCTCAAGCTCTGTCAGATTGGATGGAGAGCGTCTGTGAACAGTAATTTGCAAGTCTTACCAAAAAGTTTCAATTGGATTTAAGTCTCGACATTGACTGGGCCATTCTAACACATGAATATGCTTTGATCTAAACCATTCCATTGTAGCTCTGGCTGTACATTTAGGGTTGTTGTCCTGCTGAAAAGTGAACCTCTGCCCCAGTCTCAAGTCTTTTGCAGACTCTAACAGGTTTTCTTCTAAGATTGCCCTGTATTTGGCTCCATTTATCTTCCCATCAACTCTGACCAGCTTCCCTGTCCCTGCTAAAGGAAAGCATTCCCACAACATGATGCTGCCACAACCATGTTTCACGGTGGGGATGGTGTATTCAGGGTGATGTGTTTTTTAGTTTTCTGCCACACATAGTGTTTTGCAGTGTTTTTCTCATCTGACCAGAGCAGCTTCTTCCACATGTTTGCTGTGTCCCCCACATGGCTTCTTGCAAACGGGACTTCTTATGGCTTTCTTTCAACAATGGCTTTCTTCTTGTCCCTCTCCCATAAAGGCCAGATTTGTGGAGTGCATGACTAATAGTTGTCCTGTGGACAGACTCTCCCACCCACCTGAGCTGTGGATCTCTGCAGCTCCTCTAGAGTTACCATAGGCCTTTTTGCTGCTTCTTTGATTAATGCTCTCCTGGCCCGGGATGTCAGTTTAGGTGGACGGCCATGTCTTGGAAGGTTTGCAGTTGTGCCATACTCTTTCCATTTTCAGATCATGGATACAGTAGTGCCATGAGATGTTCAAAGCTTGGGATATTTTTTTTATAACCTAACCCTGCTTTAGACTTCTCCACAACTTTATCCCTGGCCTGTCTGGTGTGTTCCTTGGCCTTCATGATGCTGTTTGTTATTATTATTATTATTATTATACAGGATTTATATAGCGCCAACAGTTTGCGCAGCACTTTACAATATAAGGGAGACAGTACAATTACAATACATTTCAGTACAGAAGGAATAGGAGGGCCCTGTTTGTGGAGCTTACAATCTAAAGGAAGGGGGAGGTGATACAAGTGATACAAAAGGTGATAGCTGCGGGGAATGATCTAGCGGAGGTGATTCAAGTACAGTTCTTAGGTGGAGGTGGTGTAGGCTTCCCTGAAGAAGTGAGTTTTCAAAGATCGCCTAAAGGCAGACAGGGTGGGGGCTGACCGGACATACTGTGGTAGGGAGTTCCAGAGGATGGGAGAGGCTCTGGAGAAGTCCTGGAGGTGAGCGTGGGAGGAGGTAATGAGGGAGCTAGAGAGGAGGATATCATGGGAGGAGTGGAGTGGGCGATTTGGGTGGTATCTGTGGATGAGGTCGGTGATGTAGCTAGGGGCAGTGTTGTGGATGGCTTTGTAAGCTGCGGTTAGTATTTTGAATTTTATACGTTGGGTTAGTGGAAGCCAGTGGAGGGATTGGCAGAGAGGGGCAGCAGTCGCTGATCGGTTGGTAAGGTGTATGAGTCTAGCAGCAGCATTCATAATAGACTGAAGGGGGGATAGCCTGTGTGATGGTAGACCAGTGAGGAGGGAGTTGCAGTAATCGAGGTGGGATATAACCAAGGCATAGATGAGTTGTTTTGTGGTGTCATTGGTCAGGAAGGGGCGGATTTTGAAAATGTTCCGGAGGTTGAGACGGCAGGATTTAGCCAGTGAGTGGATGTGGGGCCCAAAGGAGAGGTCAGAGTCTAGGATTACGCCTAGCACCCTGGCATGAGGGGAAGGACCAATGGTTGTGCTGTTGATCTTAATGGTAAAGTCGTGAGTGGGGGATAGGGGAGGAGGAAATATTACAAGCTCAGTTTTTGAAAGATTTAGTTTAAGGTAGTGATGTGATATCCATGCTGATATGTCGCTCAGTAGATTTGTGATACGTGAGGAGGTTGAAGGGGTGAGCTGGGGAGTGGAGAGATAGATCTGGGTGTCATCAGCATAGAGGTGGTATTGGAAGCCATGGGAGTTTGTTCACTAATGTTCTCTAACAAACCTCTGAGGGCTTCACAGAACAGCTGAAGGCAATTGGTTCCACTAGATTTTAGTTAGGGGTATCAGAGTAAAGGGGCATGAATACAAAGGCACACCACACTTTGCAGATATTTGTAAATAATTTTGAAAACCATTTATCGTTTTCCTTCCACTTCACAATTATGTGCCATTTTTGTGTTGGTCTATCACAGAAAATCCCAATAAAATACATTTACATTTTTGGTTGTAACATAACAAAATGTGGACAATTTCAGGGGGTATGAATACTATTCCAAGGCACTGTGTACATATACAGTGGGGCAAAAAAGTATTTAGTCAGCCATCAATTGTGCAAGTTCTCCCACTTAAAAAGATGAGAGAGGCCAGTAATTGGCATCATAGGTAGACCTCAACTATGAGAGACAAAATGAGAAAAAAAATCCAGACAATCACATTGGCTGATTTGGAAAACATTTATTTGCAAATTATGGTGGAAAATAAGTATTTGGTCACTATCAAAAGTTCATCTCAATACTTTGTTATATATCCTTTGTTGGCAATGACAGAGGTCAAACGTTTCCTGTAAGTCTTCACAAGGTCGGCACACACTGTTGCTGGTATGTTGGCCCATTCCTCCATGCAGATCTCCTCTAGAGCAGTGATGTTTTGGGGCTGTCGCACGGACTTTCAACTCCCTCCAAAGGTTTTCTATGGGGTTGAGATCTGGAGACTGGCTAGGCCACTCCAGGACCTTGAAATGCTTCTTACGAAGCCACTCCTTCGTTGCCCGGGCGGTATGTTTGGGATCATTGTCATGTTGTAAGACCCAGCCACGTTTCATCTTCAATGCCCTTGCTGATGGAAGGAGGTTTGCACTCAAAATCTCACGATACATGGCCCCATTCATTCTGTCCTGTACATGGATCAGTCGTCCTGGTCCCTTTGTGGAGAAACAGCCCCAAAGCATGATGTTGCCACCCCCATGCTTCACAGTAGGCATGGTGTTCTTTGGATGCAACTCAGCATTCCTCCAAACACGACGAGTTGTGTTTCTACCAAACAGTTCTATTTTGGTTTCATCTGACCATATGACATTCTCCCAATCCTCTACTGGATCATCCAAATGCTCTCTAGCAAACTTCAGACGGGCCTGGACATGTACTGGCTTAAGCAGGGGGACACGTCTGGCACTGCACTGCAGGATCTGAGTCCCTGGCGACGTAGTGTGTTACTGATGGTATCCTTTGTTACGCTGGTCCCAGCTCTCTGCAGGTCATTCACTAGGTCCTCCCGTGTGGTCCTGGGATTTTTGCTCACCGTTCTTGTGATCATTTTGACCCCACAGGCTGAGATCTTGCGTGGAGCCCCGGATCGAGGGAGATTATCAGTGGTCTCGTATGTCTTCCATTTTCTAATTATTGCTCCCACAGTTGATTTGTTCACACCAAGCTGCCTGCCTATTGCAGATTCAGTCTTCCCAGCCTGGTGCAGGTCTACGATTTTGTTTCTGGTGTTCTTCGACAGCTCTTTAGTCTTCACCATAGTGGAGTTTGGAGTGTGACTGTTTGAGGTTGTGGACAGGTGTCTTTTATACTGATAACAAGTTCAAACAGGTGCCATTGATACAGGTAATGAGTGCAGGACAGAGGAGCCTCTTAAAAAAGAAGGTACAGGTCTGTGAGAGCCAGAAATCTTGCTTGTTTGTAGGATGACCAAATACTTATTTTCCACCATAATGTGCAAATAAATTCTTTCCAAATCAGCCAATGTGATTGTCTGGATTTTTTTTCTCATTTTGTCTCTCATAGTTGAGGTCTACTTATGATGCCAATTACAGGCCTCTCTCATCTTTTTTAGTGGGAGAACTTGCACAATTGGTGGCTGAATAAATACCTTTTTGCCCATTGTGTGTATATATATATATATATATATATATATATATATATATATATATATAAAATTCTAGTATAAATTAACCACTGCATATCCCATCAGCAGCCACAGCCAACTTGTCTACTGTCAGTAAGTTTGACTAAGTATATTCTATAACCTTTCTACCAGTTCACTTGACTATTCAATTCAGTTCAAGCGAAAGCGGTATTTCAGATATAGGTTTTTGGATAGTTTTGGAGACTTCTCACTCACTTTGGTAGACCAGGCCATGGACTGGAATTAAATCAAGCTCACCACTGCATGTTTTAAGACATTTTGCCATGATGATGTTTCCTATAAACCACCCAGCCAAGATAAAATAAAATGTGTATTTTGCTGACCAACCCCTGTGTATATTACTTTTCAACGTCTATTGTCTCAACAAATACTCATAAATGTATACATATAATAAATATTAAAGTGAAAAATATTAAACCAAAATTCTGGAGTCCTTTCCACAAAATCTCTGTAATCTAAAAACTCTGATGTGATGGCTTTTTATTCTTCAAATAATATCATTTTATGCATGAATTGTTGCATGAGGGAGTTATAGGTACCGTGGGATTATTCTCATATTTAGTCTTACCCAACCAAGACAGGGTTACAGCCATGATGTTTAGAATGTGCTCTTGAACTTACTTAAATGTTTAACCCTTAAAGCCTTTACTATACTTGTTCATTAAAAAAAAAAAAGACAATGCAAATTGTTGTGTGTGTTTAATACAAATGTCTATTATTGCCACTGTTGATCAAATCACATTTCAGTAGCCATTTGCACAGCAAATGTATAAGGGCTCACAAACACCTTCTCACAGCTGTATATGAAATTACAGATTCTAAATGAAAGAAAAGCGGAAAAAAAGACCTATTCTTCTACTGTCTACCTGAATTCACCCAGCCTTTTGTGATACACTTTTGCCCCAACACCAAACATATGTTATAGCAATATCCCTTCTACTACCTTACCTCAGGCTTCCAGATTTTACAACGTTTTCTGAGCAACTTCAAAGCACTAACATACTCTGCTTGAATCTTTCTTGCTGGTATTAGCAAATTCCCATCAGCTTTTGTTATCACGACCAGGTCTGCCATTTCAACGATGCCCCTTTTAATGCCCTGCAAAGACAAGAGAAAATTGTTTACTTACTCACACTCTGCCAAGAGAAAGCAGCTTTTTAGGAAACAATCATGAGAATGGTCCACTATGCAAATGCCTGTCGCCACTTATAAAATGACATCTATGCAATGACAGGCATATATTATACAGTCATGGTCAAAAATATTGGCACCCCTGCATTTCTGTCAGCTAATGCACCACTTCGCCCAGAAAATTGTTGCAATTACAAATGCTTAGGCTTTTTTTCATGTTTATTTCTTTTTGTTTGTATTAGTATGACATTAAGTGGAGAAAAAAAAAAGCCAAATCTGACACATTTCACGCAAAACTCCAAAATGGACTGGACAAAATTGTTGGTATCTCAAAATTGTAAGAAATAATTGCATTCCAAGTTTGTGATGCTCCTGCAATTTGTAATTAAATTCACCTGCATCAATTAACAGGTGCCAACAAATATAAAAATCACACTGATGACCAGCTAAAATGGTGAAAAATTGTACTCAACCTTTCTGTTGTATCACAAGTGTAATAAAAGCGCCACACCCTTAATACTTTAAGAAACCTTTCTGTTGTGTGTCTTTGTATGCCACATGGAGCATGGAGAAGAGAAAGAGCAGCAAAGAATTGTCTGAGGATTTGAGAACAAAAATTGTGGAAAAGCATGGACAACCTCAAGGTTACAAGTCCATCTCCAGAGATCTTAATGTTCCTGTGTCCACTGTGTGCAACATTGTCTAGAGGTTTACTCCCATGTCACTGTAGCTAATCTCCCAGCATATGGATGAAAGAGAAAAATTGATCAAAGAAGGATTGTTTGAATGGTGGATAAAGAACCTTGTTCAACTTCCAGACAAATTCAAGCTGACCTTCAGACACAGGGTACATCTGTGTCATCTCGCACTATATGCCACCATCTGAATGAAAAGGGACGCTATGGTAGGTGACTCAGGAGGACCCCAACTGCTGACACAGAAACATAAAAAAGCCAGATTGGAATTTGCCAAAACTTACCTGAGGAAGCCAAAATCCTTTTGGTACAATGTGCTGTGGACGAACAAAACAAACTTACAGCTTTTTTGTAAAGCCCATCATTCTACTGTTTTCAAAAAAAGCAATGAGGCCTTAAAGAAAAGAATACAGTCCCTACAGTCAAACATGGTGGAGGTTCAATGATGTTTTGGGGTTGCTTTGCTGCTCCAGGCAGTGGATGTCTTGTCCGCATGCATGGCATTATGAAATCTGACGACTACCAAAGAATACTGGGGTGCAATGTCGGGCCCAATGGCAAAAAGTTCAGTCTCCGTCAGAGGTCATAGGTCTTACAGCAGGACAATGACCCAAACACATGACAAAAAGTACCCAGAAATGATTTCAGACAAAGCTCAAGAGTACTGAACTGGCCAGCAATGAGTCCAGATCTAAATCCCATAGAGCACCTGTGGAGAGATCTCAAAATGACAGTTAGGAAAAAGAACCCTTCCAATTTGAGAGACCTGGACCAGTTGGCGAAAGAAGAATGGTCCAAAATTTCAGTAGAGAGGTGTAAGAAACTCATTGTTGGTTACAGGAAGCAATTGATTTCAGTTATTTTTTCCACGGGGTGTGTTAGCAAATATTAAATTGAGGGTGGCAATAATTTTGTCCAGTCCATTTTTGGGGTTTTGCATGGAATGTGTCAAATTTGGCTTTTTGTTTCTCCACTTTTTTGTGTCATACCAAAAACAAAAAAAGAAATAAACATGAGAATGTCTAAACATTTGTAATTGCAACAGTTTTCTGGGTGAAGTGGTACATTATCTGACAGAAATGCAGGGGTGCCAATATTTTTGGCCATGACTGTATATTTATCCATATTTGTAATGCAGCAAAATGATGGATTTATATTTTAAAGAGAAAACACATCATCAGTAGGCATAGAATAATCTAAAGGACATTAAAGAATTACCTTAAACTACTTCCCATCTTAAATATGTAATGAAAATATTATTTTGTCTAAAGGGATTTGACAGAAAGTGGACCTAATCTCAGGCAAATCTATGTTTCAGACAATACAAGTTAGTTGTAGAATACAGAGCACTGACTGCAGGAATTCTGCAGTTGCGCTTTTGCCAAGGAGTTCTTTGTCATCCATTCCACAGCGAGTAGAAATAGTAGACAGTTACCATATTAGCGGAGGAAAAAGGTATTGCTGGGCAGCTCTACATGTTCTTACACCGCACCCTCTGATCAGGCCATTCATTTAGTACAGTGATCAGAAGCTGCAGTAGATGGGATGTGCCTCTAATAAACTAAAACTCTCGATAGGCTCCTCCAAGGCTACAAAAACAAAGTGAGCCTAGGCACGATCATATGTGCAAGAGGGCCTAAGCTGGTTCTCTTCAGGAACTAAAAATACTAAAGGTGTGCATGCGTAATTGGGGATGGACTAGAATTTGAAGAGCGGAAGTGAAGTACTCAATGAAATCAAGAAAACAATAGGTCTATAAAACAGTGTTTAACCTCTTGCTACCCATTTAACGCGTATGTGTGGTGGTTTCTGTGCTGTGAAAACACTTCCAGCACAGTGACCACGCTGTCAAAAATGGGACTGGCTGTGTGGGAAGGGGTTAATATTAACTTACAGCTCACAAAAAAAATTAAGAAATCCACGAGTCCAATCACATATCTGCACTTAAAAAAGCTACAAACTGTGCCTATAGTAAATCAAGAGCCATGGACTAGGTTCTTTCCTATGGAGTTTTGTGTGGTGGGCTTTAAAAAAAATTCTGGTGCAGTAACCAGCAAGTGTGTATCTTGCTACACATTTTAATGTGTTTAGCTGCAAACAAAATATCTCTTCCTTAAAAGAAACGTAAAAAAATACACCCCAAACAAACCATGGTGTATGAAATAAAAACCTAAACAACTCCAGGAAAATGAAAAAAAAAAATCTTCTGAGTTACAAATAGTTAAATGTCTGAAGGTTTTTACCATCTCCTGGATTGATGGCTGTTATTTATAATTTACACTTTCATTGAAGGTTGATAGCATGCCTTTCGCTTCTGGCACACCAACAGCAGCTTGCAGCTCTCCTGTACACAAGAGGTCAAGTTGTCTGCCTCCCCTCTCAACGGTCCATTTACAGGACTCTTTGTATTTTGTGATTAGATGCATATCGTTTCATGGAAATGAAAATTATCAACCTACAGAGAACTGAATTCGAAGGCCCCCCCGAAAACCAAAGTGAAAAAATTATGCAGCAGGCTAGTCCATTTTGCTGAAATTTCTTTGCAGCAACTCAAAATGGTACTCAGTAGTTTGTATGGACTCCACGTGCTTGTATTCATGCCTGACAACGTCAGGGCATGCTCCTAATGAGATGACGGATGGTGTCCTGGGGTATTTCCTCCCAGATTGGGACCAGGGCAGTCCTGGACAGTCTAAGATACAACCTGGTAGCGTCGGATGGACCGAAACATAATATCCCAGAGGTGTTCTATTGGATTTAGGTCAGGCAAGTGTGGGGGCCATTCAATGTTATCAATTCCTTCATCCTCCAGGAACTGCCTGCATGCTCTCGCCGCATGAGGCCAGGCATTGTCGTGCACCAGGAGGAACCCAGAACCCATTGCACCAGTGTAGGGTCTGACAATGGATCCAATGATTTCATTCTGATACTTAATGGCAGTCAGGGGGGTGCCATTGTCTAGCCCAGGGGTCTCTAAACTTGCTAAACAAAGGGCCAGCTTACTGTCCTTCAGACTTTAGGGGGGCCGGAGTGGCCCGTGAGTACAAAATGTCCCAGCGAAAGTAGGAGTAAAAAAACATGACAAAGTTTGTAGTCAGTGGAAGGAGGAATAGTGTCCAGTCATTGGTATTAGTTGGAGGAATAGTGCCCCATCACTGGTATTGGCAGAATAGTGCCCCATCATAGATATTAGTGGGATGAATAATGCCCCATCATTGATGACAGTGGGAGAAATCGTGCCCCATCACTATTTGTCAGTGGGAGGAATAGTGCCTCAACATTGGAACCAGTGAAAGAATAGTGCCCCTTAATTGGTATTGGTTGGATGAATAGGGCCCCATCATTGGTGCCAGTGGGATGAATAGTGCTCCATCATTGGTGACAGTGGGATGAATAGTGCCCAAACATTGGTATTAGAGGGAGGAATAATACTCTATTATTGGTATTAGTTGTAGGAATAGTGCCTAATTGTTTATATCAGTGGGAGTAATTGTGCCCTATCATTGGTGCCAGTAGAAGGAAAAATGCCCCATTGTTGGTGTCAGTGAGAGGAATGGTTCCGCACTGTTGGTGCCAGTGTAAGAAATGGTGCTTCCTTGTTGGTGTCAGGGGGAGGAAAAGTACCCTGAGAGCGGATAGAAGCAAACAAAGGGCCGCATTCGGCCCATGGCCGCAGTTTGGAGACCACTGGTCTAGCCTGTAGAGGTCTGTGCATCCCTCCATGGATATGCCTCCCCAGACCATCACTGACCCACCGCCAAAACGGTCATGCTGAACGATGTTACAGGCAGCATAAAGTTCTCCACGGCTTCTCCAGACCCTTTCACACCTGTCACGTGGTCAGGGTGAACCTGCTCTCATCTGTGAAAAGCACAGGGTACCAGTGGCAGACCTGCCAATTCTGGTGTTCAATGGCAAATGCCAATCGAGCTCTATGGTGCCAGGCGGTGAGCACAAGGCCCACTAGAGGATGTCAGGCCCTCAGGCCACCCTCATGAAGTCTGTTTCTGATTATTTGGTCACAGACATTCACATCAGTGGCCTGCTGGAGGTCATTTTGTAGGGCTCTGGCAGTGCTCATCCTGTTCCTCCTTGCACAAAGGAGCAGATACCGGTCCTGCTGATGGGTTAAGGACCTTCTACGGCCCTGTCCAGCTCTCCTAGAGTAACTGCCTGTCTCCTGGAATCTCCTCCAAGCTCTTGAGACTGTGCTGAGAGACACAGCAAACCTTCTGGCATTGGCAAGTATTGATGTGCCATCCTATAGGAGTTGGACTGCCTGCACAACCTCTGTAGGGTCCAGGCATCACCGCATGCTACGACTAGTGATAATGATCCTAGCAAAATGCAAAACTAGTGAAAAACAGTCAGAAAAGATGAGTAGGGGAAAAAAATGTCTGTGGTCTCCATCTGTAAACTATTCCTGTTTTGGGGGTCGTTTCATTGTTGCCCATCTAGTGCACCAAAGCAGCTGAATAAGGTTGCCACCTCATCCCTTTAAAACCGAACACGTATTAATTACACAGTATCTGAGGCTAAATGAATGCAGATAAGGCTCTAGGTGAGTTTAATTACCACCTTATCAGCCAGAACCTGTGTAAATAAAACGTATTTGGTTTTAAAGGGATGAGGTGGCAACCCTACTGCTGAAACTGATTAACAACCCCCCTGCTACTTAACTGACCAGATCAATATCCCAGGAGTTTAATTGACTTGATGCTTAATTTTTTTGAGCAGTGTATTTATAACCCAGCAGAGTTTTTTAAAAAAAAATTCTGGAGTTCTTCTTTAACACTGCATATGAAAAAAGCATTGTGTGAATGGGCCCTATAGGTAGCGATAGCGACCGGAAATGGGGACATACATCCCATGAATGTATGGCCTCTTTGTGCATGCTATACATACAAATACCACCAACACCTGTTTCCAATCTGAGTCACACATTTAACTCCTTGGTGACTAACAGGAGCAGAAGAGAACCTAAGACTTTAGATAATCCACATGAAGGTCTAAAGCAAAAGTATGATTTGCATACTCGTTTGTATAGTGTGTGTAACTTAAAGTGATTTAAAAGATCAGTTACGAACTTATGCCACATAAAACTTCCTGTGCACTACAGGAAGCAGACAGAGGTGAACGCTAATGTAAATTACAAGCCATTGAGTCTAACTCACATGGAACATAAATGATTGCTCCCATATGGTCAGCTTTCTTGAGCAAAAGCAGCTGATTTACATTCATTGGCTAACTGGGTGGATAAATATTTAAAGAAGAGACAAAGCAGACGGGGAATTTATAGGATCTGATAGAGGTCACTGCTGCAGAATATTTTGTAGTAGAATATAAAGTACACCATACACATACAGGGTTTCCCTTATAAACGGATTATTAGAGTGTGGCTTTTAATGGACCAGTACACCTAAAGCATCATTTACCATACACTCAAATCATAGATATTCACGTAAACAAACACCTAAGATATGGGACACGTCTGTAAAAAAAATAACAGAGTAACTCTACAACACCATTTTGTCCATTTGAGGCTGGGGGAGGATCCGGGCAGATGTGTCCCTGAACAGGAACTGTGCCTCTTTACCACTTGCCTGCTGGGCACTTATACCCCCTTCCTGCCCAGGCCCATTTCCAGCGATGTTGCACTTTGAATGACAATTGCACGGTCATGAAACACTGTACCCATATGAAATTTTTATCATTTTTTTAAAAAAGATAGAGCTTTCTTTTGGTGGTATTTAATCACCTCTGGGTTTTTGTTATTTTTTGCTAAACAAACCAAAAACAACTGAACATTTTGAAAAAAAAAAAAGCTTTTTCTTAGTTTCTGTTATACAATTTTGTAAATAAGTGATTTTGCTCCTTCACTGATGTGTGCTAAAGAGGCTGCAGTGATGGGCACTGATAGGCAGCACCAATGGGCACTGAGAGGAGGCACTGGTAGCTGGCACTGATGGGCATAGACAGGCATCACTGATGGGCACTGAAAGGCAGAACTTATATATGGCACTGGTAGGTGGCACTGACTGGCACTGTTAGGTGGCACTGACTGACACTGATACGCAGCACTGATAGGCGGCACTGATTGGCAGCACTGATAGGTGGCACTGACTGGCATTGATAGGTGGCACTGACTGGTGGCACTGAAAGACAGCTCAGATGGACACTGATATGTGGCATTGATGTGCACTGGTAGCCACTGATATGTGGCACTGATAGGTAGCATTGATGGGCACTGACAGGTGGCACTGCTGGGGCTACACTGATCATCAAGGCACACTGATCATCAGTGCCCTGATGATCAGTGTACATGTCCCCTCTGAGTAATGCCGATTACCGGCTCTCCTCTCCTCACAAGCTGTTAGCGTGACACAGGGACACAGCACACCAGTGATATGCCGCGCTGCGCGCCCCCGGGGGAGTGCACACGCAGTTAGAGTGGGAGGACATCATATGACGTCTTCCCAGAACGAGAGAACAACCTTGCACCCGTCATTTCCTTAAATGGTGGGCAGGAGGCGGTTAAGGTACCAATTTACCTAAAGTTGAACTCCAGACAAACAGCTAAATATACACTGTAACCTCATGAAACTTATGGTCTTCGTTTAAGCACCTGTAAGTCCTCCCAGTGTTTCCTGCAATGGGTGCTGGCTGGGCAGGAGTCGGTCTAACTCCTCACATACTGTGGATATGCATAGAGAAAGTCCCAAACACTGCACACCTAGAAAAGCCATTAATAAATAGGTGAAAGCAGCCTCAGCCAGCTTTATTCAAAGCCATGCCTCCAACGCATTTCACCCCACCCACGGGGCTTAATCATGAACCTCCATGGTTAAGCTCCAAGGGTGGGTGAAATGTGTTGGAAGCATGGCTTTGGATGAAGCTGCTTTCACCTGTTTATTAAATGGCTTTTCTAGGTGTGTGGCTTTTGGTGTTCTCTGTGCATACTCGCAGCTAAATATTCAGATACAAACATAACGGAGCAGTTTTACTTGCCAAAGGATTTGCATTTCTGTCCATCCGGTCCCAAAAAATTTACACAGCTCTGCCACAAGGCACAGCCCTGTCTGGCTGGACAGAGACCTGATTTTTCTCTGCTCTAGTTCAATAACCCTTACAGGTCTTGTCCCAGCCTGTGGCTGAACAGTGAAAGAGAAGCAACAGGCTGATGAACGCATCTGTCACTCTGCTCTCTCCTCTCTTCAGTATGTTCTTTGTTAGCACATAAACAAAGCAGCACAGCCAGTTAGCTCCTGATTTTTGCTCTCATCGGAGTCTGAGCTGTGCTGTGCAGGCCCTGCAAGAGGCCAATAATAAGTCAAATTCAGTTATGTAAGCCGTTTGCTGTAAAAAAATAAACAATATGTACACTCACTGGCCACTTTATTTAGGTATACCTATTCAATTAAGAAGGGGAGGATCAGAGAGGTCAGGATCAAACAGTGTTTTTTTACACAATGCAGAGGATTAACCCCTTGGGTTCCACAGTGAGTATAAAAAGCATGCTTTACGCATGTACAGACTGATTTTACTGTTGTATGTTTAGTAACATTTTAATCCATACTTCAGCCGACTTTAGCTTTGGATAGAATGGGGGAGGGGCTATAAACTATCAGTCTGTGCCCCTGCAGGGATCATTACCTCCCAATTCATATACTGGATGTTACAGATGAGCTCAGGCATGCTCTGAATTCATCTTTAACTGAACTTGAGCTATTTTTTTTCAAACCCCAGTGAACAGCGAGCTGCATAATTTTGCCCCCCTAGCCCACCTCTTTATTTATGTGAGCTGTGGGGCAGAAATGACTCGGCCCGCACCTCACTAGAGTAATAAATAAATAAAAAGTGAGTTCCATGTTTGGCTAGAGATGGGTTCAGAGGACACCTGAGTTCATCTCTACTGCTCATCACACAGGAAATGTGGAGAATCTCCCAAATGGAGACACAGAGAACAATTTGGAATAAAAAGAAGTATACCAAATGGAAGGTTTATCCTCACACCCCTGTCTTGGGGACCACCCAGAAAGAGGGGGTAACACTCCTCAATGGGAGCAGGGGCAAAAGCTTGACAGAGGTTTTAGCCCTATCTCACTGTATGCAAAACATAAACAAATGTTTGGGGTAACATTGTGGTGGACTACAGCAGAAGTATGGGTTCACACATTTGCATTAAGGCAATGTGCACATCATCGTAATGAGCAAATGTGCTTCATGTGTGTTGCTGTGCAGTCATTAATTATTTTGGCACCCAACACACATGTTGCAGTGCACCACAAAACATGGTAATGGGGTTGTAGTGCACGGGGGTTACATTAAAAATAGTACTACTATTATTTTTTTAGTGTGTGTTAGGAATGGGCTGCCATTACATGACACACATTACAATGCAAAATAGCAAAAAAGTGAGAATCCAACCTAAAAGTTATTACAAATGGTTTTTCAGACAATCCAATTTCAGGTTTCACATTTTTTTTGCCCCTTTAAACGTTCATGTACACATTAACTCCAATAATCTATCCACAATGCAAAACTGGAATGGAAAATATACCTGCAATTCATCACCTCCTGCTGGTGGCAGCAACAGTACAAACATGTCAACCATGTCAGCCACTGCAAATTCAGACTGTCCTACACCTGCACAATGACAAAGGGAATGCAGGTTACACTGCTTACAATGATCTGTCTTGCAGTTCTACAGGTATTGTGTCAGTCAACCTTACAACAACACAAAATGCAGAGATAATTACAATACAACAGATAGGAAGTGAGGGGATGGCAGGCAGAAATAAACACATTTCTATTACAGGGAGCAAAATTTAGATTCTCTGTTTACTATGTTCTGTATGCCCATGAGAGACATTCCTTTCACTTTTGTCTAATTGAAAAGTATCAAACATAACACTAAGAAAAGAGGAATCCCCTCTATGGTACCCACAGACACAGACAGCATGCAATATCTGACAGAAAAATCTCAAGAGGAAAACACACACAGTATATTAAACCTTATAATAAATCTATGTCCAGACTATGGACATTCAAGTAGTTACAAATTCTTAGCCTGCTGTAAATGAGCTTTAAAGCAAGCCTTCAATGGCCTCAATGGCTGTTGGCAATGTGGAACAATTCATCTTCACATTTACAGTACAAGCATGGCAGGCTCGCTGTTTGTAGAGATTATTTATTTATTTCAGTACTTATATAGCACCGTCAATTTACACAGCGCTTTACATATACAGTCAGGTCCATAAATATTGGGACATGGACACAATTCTAACATTTTTGGCTCTATACACCACAACAATGAATTTGAAATGAAACGAACAAGATGTGCTTTAACTGCAGACTATCAGCTTTAATTTGAGGGTATTTACATCCAAATCAGGTGAACAGTGTAGGAATTAGAGCAGTTTGCATATGTGCCTCCCACTTGTTAAGGGACCAAAAGTAATGGGACAGAATAATAATCATAAATCAAACTTTCACTTTTTAATACTTGGTTGCAAATCCTTTGCAGTCAATTACAGCCTGAAGTCTGGAACGCATAGACATCACCAGACGCTGGGTTTCATCCCTGGTGATGCTCTGCCAGGCCTCTACTGCAACTGTCTTCAGTTCCTGCTTGTTCTTGGGGCATTTTCCCTTCAGTTTTGTCTTCAGCAAGTGAAAGGCATGCTCAATCGGATTCAGGTCAGGTGATTGACTTGGCCCTTGCATAACATTCCACTTCTTTCCCTTAAAAAACCCTTTGGTTGCTTTTGCAGTATGCTTTGGGTCATTGTCCATCTGTACTGTGAAGCGGCGTCCAATGAGTTCTGAAGCATTTGGCTGAATATGAGCAGATAATATTGCCCGAAACACTTCAGAATTCATCCTGCTGCTTTTGTCAGCAGTCACATCATCAGTAAATACAAGAGAACCAGTTCCATTGGCAGCCATACATGCCCACGCCATGACACTACCACCACCATGCTTCACTGATGAGGTGGTATGCTTAGGATCATGAGCAGTTCCTTTCCTTCTCCATACTCTTCTCTTCCCATCACTCTGGTACAAGTTGATCTTGGTCTCATCTGTCCATAGGATGTTGTTCCAGAACTGTGAAGGATTTTTTAGATGTCGTTTGGCAAACTCTAATCTGGCCTTCCTGTTTTTGAGGCTCACCAATGGTTTACATCTTGTGGTGACCCTCTGTATTCACTCTGGTGAAGTCTTCTCTTGATTGTTGACTTTGACACACATACACCTACCTCCTGGAGAGTGTTCTTGATCTGGCCAACTGTTGTGAAGGGTGTTTTCTTCACCAGGGAAAGAATTCTTCGCTCATCCATCACAGTTGTTTTCCATGGTCTTCCGGGTCTTTTGGCGTTGCTGAGCTCACCGGTGCGTTCCTTCTTTTTAAGAGTGTTCCAAACAGTTGTTTTGGCCACGCCTAATGTTTTTGCTATCTATCTGATGGGTTTGTTTAGTTTTTTCAGCCTAATGATGGCTTGCTTCACTGATAGTGACAGCTCTTTGGATCTCATCTTGAGAGTTGACAGCAAAAGATTCCAAATGCAAACAGCACACTTGAAATGAACTCTGGACCTTTTATCTGCTTATTGTAATTGGGATAATGAGGAGGAATAACACACACCTGGCCATGGAACAGCTGAGAAGCCAATTGTCCCAATACTTTTGGACCATTAACAAGTGGGAGGCACATATGCAAACTTTTGTAATTCCTACACCGTTCACCTGATTTGGATGTGAATACCCTCAAATTAAAGCTGACTGTCTGCAGTTAAAGCACATCTTGTTTGTTTCATTTCAAATCCATTGTGGTGGTGTATAGAGCCAAAAATGTTAGAATTGTGTCCATGTCCCAATATTTATGGACCTGACTGTATATATTGTACATCTACATCAGTCCCTAACCCTCAAGAGGCATACAATCCAAGGTCCCTAACTCACATTCATACATGAATATACTAGGGCCAATTTAGATAGGAGCCAATTAACCTACCAACATGTCTTTGGTGTGTGGGAGGAAACCGGAGCACCCAGAGGAAAACCGTGCACACACAGGGAGAACATGAAAACTCCAGGCAAGTGATGTCATGGTTGGGATACTGCCAGGCAGAAGTGCTAAACATTTAGCCACTGTTCTGTCCAGATTAGGAGGCTGGATGGCTGCCAAGTTCCCTGCTTTGAAGGGGCAGCTCTGCTGCTGAGAGCAGGGCATAGACAACTTTTTTTTTTCTTTTGCCGTAACATTTTAACAATGAATTTCTCCACAGTCCTTCAGCTACTGAGGTCAGTGAGGGTTTACTTTAAAGCCCATTTGCTGCCAGTTAAGAATATGCTTAATTATTGAATATCCATAGCCTGGCCAATATTAAAGCAGTGATACCTAAAGATTGAGTTCACCTTTTGTAAAAATAAATAAATATACATGTTTTTGCAGGTAAAAACATGCGCATTTAGTTTTTGTTTGCTTTTTTTTACAATAGAGCCTACAAAGCATTGCAATCATAATCAGTAGATCACAGGTGCAATTTCAGATTCTGCAGACAGCTTATCTTCTGTACAGGCAGACAGTTCATTTATTCTACCTACTGTAGAGTAGGTAGAATAAATGAACTATAAGGGCGCTCACCAGTGCCCTTGCAGTTCATTAAGAACTAAAAGCCTTCTGCCTTGTAGTTCATTCATTCACAGATCTCTGCCTACACAGCCGCATGGTTTTTAAATAGTGACAGAAATGATCCACAACATCAGTAGAAAAGTCTGTCTCTTGCCAGCATGCTGCAGAGAAGCATCATTTCTGTCTGAGTGGTATCAGTGGTTCCTCTGCAGCAGTGTGACATTGCCTCTTCTGAGTAACAGCTAGAGCTTTCTTCAATCAACAGGAAGTAGGAGACTTGCTCATTTCAGAGCTCTAATATCTCCATGCAGGGAGCAAGCATATAGTAAGGGGACAGGCTTTTCCACTAACGTTGTGGCTACATTCTAAGAAAAAACTGTAAGGCTTTGCACACCATTTTTAATTTTTTTCAATAACACAAAAACACAATCCTTACATTTTTAAAGCAATTAAAAAATATCCGACAAATGTTGCAGCTACACACTGGCAAATAAATATGCAGAATATTCATAATATATTACAGTTCAATTATTTTGACTAAAGATATTCGCATCATATTGACCAGCTATCTAAAGACAAAAAATAACTTTTTACATTCTCATCAGCTACACCCCTTACTTCATTCTGACCTTATACAGGGTTTTACCATTCACAATTCCTTGCCTTGACACATTATGTGGGGTCATTGCCCATCTGCCATTTTTGGATCCAGATGAAATAGTATTTCCTAAGAGTGCCTCTCTATTCATACGTAATTTTTTCAACTGCTGGTGTTTTGAGTTCTATAATCCAATTGCATTTAATACGTGTATCATTAGTATAGTGGGTGCATATCCATCATGATTTTATTACTTTACATGCAGACTCAACAAGGGATGTGCTGGACCTCTGTAGAGACACTACTGTTTTCAATGCAGGGAGCATGCTAGCAAGGGAGAGGTTTTCTGCTAATGTTGTTGCTGTATTCCAAACAAAAAATGTAAGGCTTTACCTTTTTTTTGCATTTGGAATGTATTCAGCTGAATAAAATTGAAAGTTCAGTTGAGCATTAACCAGGAATATGAGGCCACTAACATGTTACACATCTGAGCCGGGCATTAGCTAACTCATGGGTGACCTGTATAGTTAAAAAGAACAATAAAACAAGTATCCTTACCTACAGTCTCCACAAGTACGATATTATAACCACCACTTTCACAGAGTAAAATAGCTTCATTAGTTGTTCTTGTCACCCCTCCCAGTGTCCCCCTGGTGGGAGAAGGTCGAATGTAAGCATTCATATCTCTAGAAAGCTCCTGCATTCGTGTTTTTATCACCAAGAAGAGAGCCTGAAATCAGTAATAAAAATCTATTGTCAGAACTAAGCTAGAGTTCTAAATGTAAATATTTTCACTGCTGGTCCAGAATATGCAAATATTTAAGTGTGCATGATCTGGGCACAAATTCACTTTAATTCCCCTTACAATTTCACAAAATGTACTTGGCTGGCAAACATTGCTAAGACAATATTAAAATATACACGGTTTTTAAAAGAAAAAAATATCACAAGGGGCTCACTTATACCACAGGGGTGTGGAAATTTTTGAAAAAACTACTTGTCCAAGGGACTAAGGAGGGTCCCAATCTACTTGTCCTGATGAAGAAAATAATTTTAACCAAAACCATATTTAAAAGAGGTTTAACATTGTGCTGTTTATCTGCTCCTCACCTCCCTGCCTGTCTCCAGCACTGCACCTGAGGACTAGAAGGAAGGGAGAGACCTTGCAGTATAATGAGCACTGATTGGCTGCTCCTCAGGAAAGGAGAGTGTTGGGCTCTCTTAAAGCTCAGCAGCAGCGCATCTGCTGAGTGAGTAAAGGAGGCGCTGGCCCAAATGAGGAAAAAAAAAAAACTTTATTCCTTCAGCTTACCTTCACATACAGAAGCACTTGGGTGCTCAGTAGAAGCGCATGCTGAGCAGCCAAATCAAGTTCTGGTTTCCACTCACTGAGGTTTCATTCACTCCTGGGCGTTTTGGGATTATGGCATAACCGCTGTGATTTTGCCCATGATCTCAAAACACACTACAATCGCAAAACACAGGTACCTTTATTTTCAATAGCACCTAAAACACGGTGCGGTTTTGCCGTGACTATCTCACGATTTATCGCGTGGCAAATTGTATTACGTGAAACTTGTTACCCAACAGAAGCTCCTGCTCATTTTTGGGCAACAAGCTTCACATGATGCGATTTGCCAGGTGTGAATGGAGCCTTAGTCCCGGTTCACACTGATGTGAATCTGATGCAGATCAGATCTGAAAGGCAAACATTCGCATGGTATCTAAAAGGACGTTCACATCTATGAGGTGCAAATTTGATCCAGTTTTCTAGTCACTTCCTTGCAAATCTGTCTTCCAGCCACTTCTATGTAAACCTGGCTATGAATCGCTTCCTATATGGACAGTTATCTCATAATGCCACTATACTCTATGCTTTGCGAGTTTGGAATGCATTCTGAAATAACTGTTCTCATAGGAAGCAATTGATAGCCGGTTTTGCATAGAAGTGGTTGGAAGGCAGTTTTGCATAGAAGTGGCTAGAAAACAGATTTGCATAGACGTGGCTAGAAGATAGATTTGCATAGAAGTTAATGGAATACAATTTTGTAGAAAGGAGGAACTGCTGAACAAGTACCTTTGAAAATCGCACTGAAAACTGACATGAAAATCGCACCATAAAGTAAACCCTGCTGCTTACCTGCAGCAGGGCTAAATGTAAAAAAAAACCCTCACCTGCCCGAAGCCCAGAACTGCATGTACTAGGCGTTGGGGGATATGATTGGCACATCCCTATACCACTATAGGAAATGATACTGGAACTAAATAGCTATGGTAAGAATCCTGCACTCACCAGAGAACCAATTTGTAACCATAATGCCGCTACAGAACACAATTAGAAAATAAACATCAAGTTCCAATAAATCTGGTGCTCTCCTTTCAGATAACAAAACTAATAGAAATATTTTAGTATTATTTTATAATAGATGATTAATATCCTGTATTCAGACATTTGTAAGAGTTGCAATCCCATACTACCCTTCCACTTTCCGATATTAAGCTTATGCTTTTGTGCAAATTAAAAATATGCTTCTTTAAAACTGAACTCCAGGAAAACTAAAAGTCCTCCTTGAAGTTGTGCTGCACCTGCACTACAACGGTTCACTGCTTGTTTATATCTAGGTGGGCCAGGTACAGCAGTTTTACTCACCATAATCTGTTCTCCCACATGCTCTCTTTTGCTGGTAGATCGGTCTCTACAGCCTCTTCTCCCCAGGCCTCTGATATCATCAAGACTGATGGAGAGTCCATAGCCCTGCACTGTGTGTGAGGACACTGAGGGGCAATCCCCTGCAGGAACTTGGGGGGAGTGTAGTCTGCCGAAGCAGTGGAGGATGAGGTAAGCAAAAGTGATTTTACTTTCCCCTAGACATAAACAAGCACCCACACTGCAAGGGAGGATTTTGAGTGTTCTTGGAGTTGGGCTTTAAGTGACATTAAACTCAAACTAAAAATGTAATATATTACAGCTTAAATGATAAGTTCACCTTTTAGAAAAAAATAATAAATGCACATTTTTTGCAGGTAAAGATATGTGCATTTATTTTTTTTGTCTGCAGGATCCTGTAAACCAATGCACCAGAGATCAGCAAATCGCTGGTGCCATGCAGGTCTCCTGCAGATCTGTCAGTATATCTGCTTGCTCGTACATCCTGTTAATATATACTGATAAGAAGAATGAATGAACTGCCACGGCGCTTCTGAGAACTGTGGTAGTTTATTGGAGGAATACAAGCTGACAGCTGCTAAGGCTGTCGGAACTTGTAGTCTCTCATTCACAGATGACTGTGAATGAGTGATGTGGCCGTGTGGGCGGAGCCCTGCACAGAAATTTTTTTTTAAATTTGACAGCTAGCGAGGGGGAAGATCCCCCGCTAGCTGTCGAAGCGGGGATCGAGTGGAGCGGGTGCAGGTCTGATTGTAACATGTTACACTTTACACCCTTAATATGGGTGTAACATGTAACATGTTACGAAAGGTGAACTTATCCTATAACAATCATTAGATGTGGTGGCAGCATTCACTCTCTTTTTTTAGGCTTTTTCCCCCTCATAATCCTGCCAGTAGGCACATCCTGTATTATGGTGCCTACAGGCTGGATTAAGGAGCAACAGAGACACCTTTTGGAGAGTAGCACTGTCAGTTTCGGGGCAGGAGAGTTAGAGATGTACTAACTAACAAAGTGATGCCAAACTCTGACTAATACTTTATAAGCAGTTACAGCAACAGTTTTGTACTTTGGGATAAAGGTTTTACATAAATAAAGGCTGATCATTGTAAGCACCCCTGTCAGTGTTAAATGGTCTGTCTCCACACTCTAACTGCTACATATGAAGGGGAGCTTGTTCTGTTGAAAAGAACAGCCTTACAGACAGGATCACTTGGTAAAAGTAAAGAAATTACAGTAAAAAAAAGAAAACCAATGCAGCCATCACATCTAATAATTGGTAAGCTGAAGTATAATAAATGTTTGCTTTTGGGTTTAATACAGCTTGAAGGACTCAACAAATTCTTAAAGGCAACTTACCACCACTGGTGCTAGATGATGGATCAACAGCCAATACTGCAACTTTGTGTCCCTGCTCAGTAAGCATTTTCCCAAAAAATTCAATAAATGTTGATTTTCCAGCTCCTGGGGGACCAGACAGGCCTACGTCAGAAAGTGTGGAAACAAAACAAACTATTTTAGTCACAGTCAACATGATATGTAACAGTTTTAAAGTTAAATAGTTTGAAATAGATCACTGAAATACCTTAGTGACCAAGTAATGCAAGACATGTACAAATCATATCAGAAAAGACAGGAAGAACTTTGCACACAACCAGAATATTCAAAACTTAAAATGAATTTAGTCTTACAGAGTGTGCAGAAAAAAGAGATTATGGAAAATATTATTGTAGATAAATGCAGATGACTCTTCCTGTATGCTTCTGTCTCACTGGAATTCATGTATTCTCCTGCTGCTCCCTCTTACCTACACCTTCCCATTCCCTTCCTTCTACTCCCTCCGTTCATGGAATCCAAGCCCTGTACACTAGCTGAAATATAGGGGTTCATTTACTAATTGCAAATACCCTGTTCATTTTTCAAGTGAAGTTGCATTCTGCAGGGGAATTTTCCCCAGAGCTTAGTGAATGTGGTGCTTCAGTTTGCATAGAATTCCCAATCACAAGCAGGGAAAATAAAAAACAGCATTTTTGCTTGCACGTGATTGGATGAGGGAGCCTCACCTCATGCACTAAACTTTAGGCCAAATTTCCTTGCAGAATGCAACTGCACTTGCAAAGTGAACAGTTTATATGGCTTTAGTAAATCAACCTCAGTCTTTTTTTTTTTTCTGCCCCTTGCTACATCAGTTACAGCAACTTAAAGAGTAACTCCACTTTTGTTGAGAAAAAACCATTCCCCTCTGGTTGATCCATGTACAGAGTACAAGGATTTTAACAAACTTTGTTGCAGAGTCCTACCTTTTGTTATTCTTTGTCCATGAGCAGAATGAATCTGTATGGGTGTGATTTCATAATCAACAATCAGCTGCTGCACTTGCAGGGCTCTAATGAGGAAAATTGAAGGGTCTGCATACCTTTAGACATGTTTTCCCTTCAGGAGTATCTCACCAAAAATGATATTTTTGTTGAAAGGGATGCCGAAAATCTCAGTTGTATCTTAGTTCAGACTTCTGGGAAAATCAGTAAGCCAATCACACAAGCAGGAAATGACATTTCTGAGGGCGTCCTGTGCACCATCTGTGTACAGAACGCCTTCAGGTAGCCATATTGCATTGCATTTTACAGCGCTGCAAATTGAAAAAGGAAAGATCATTTTTAATAACATTCACTTACAATATGACATGTGCTGCAATTGAATACAGTGCATCCAGAAAGTATTCACAGCGCTTAACTTTTGCCACATTTTATGTTACAGCCTTATTCCAAAATGGATTAAATTCATTTTTTTCCTCAACATTCTACAAACAATACCCCATAATGACAATGTGAAAGAAGTTAGTTTTGAATTCTATGCAATTTATTACAAATAAAAAACGGAGGAAAAAAAACATGTACATAAGTATTTACAGCCTTTGCCATGACACTCAAAACTGAGCTCTGGTACATCCTGTTCCCATTGATCATCCTTGAGATGTTTCCACAACTTGATTGGAGTCCACCTCCAGGCCTGCCTGGAGTTTGCCAAAAGGCACCTGAGGGACTCTCAGACCATGAGAAACAAAACACTCTTGTCTGATGAAACAAAGATTGAACTTTTTGGCCTGAAAGTCAAGCGTCATGTCTGGAGGAAACCAGGCATCGCTCACCACCTTGCCAATACCATCCCTACAGTGAAGCATGGTGGTGGCAGCATCATGCTGGGGGATGTTTTGCAGCGGCAGGAACTGGGAGACTAGTCAGGATCGAAGGAAAAATGAATGCAGCAATGTAAAGAGACATCCTTGATGAAAACTTGTTGCATGGTGGTGGCTGTATGCTGTATTATTTTTCTTTTACTTGCTATTTTTTTCCTCACAAAAGTGGAGTTACCCTTTAAAAGTTTACCTTTTGTAGAAAAATATTAAATGATTTTGCAGATTAAAAAAAAAAGTGCATTTATTTATTTGCATTGAAGCCTGCAAAGCGTTGCACTGACGGTCAGTGAATCATGGGTGCAATGTCAGGCTCCTGCAGACTCTCAGTACAGCTGTCAGACCGTACCTCCATGTGGGCAGTCACTTACTGAAGAACAGGATAAATTGAGAACTACAAGCCCTGTGTCAGTTAAAGCATGACTTGTAGTTCATTCATTCACAGAACTCTGTGAATGAATATGTGAAAACAGATGTGACAATGTGACTGCGGATGTAAGGAGAGGATTCCCCACCTGCTGTCAAGGGGGTAATTGGAGGGGAGGGGGGGTGTCAGCTGCTCAAAAGCAACATAGTACATCTTCAATAAGGGTGCAACATATAATATGTTACAAAAGGTGAACTTGACCCTTAAAACCCAGCTTTAGCCTTAACCCTTTTGCTGCAATTTATTTATTTTTTTCTTGCATACATGTTAAAATACATGCTTTAGAGGCCTGAGTGATAAGTAAAACCCTTAAATGCTATATATTTTCTGAAAGCAGAGACCCTTGACAATAAAATGCTGGTAAGTTGCAATTTTTTATGTTACATGATATAAAGTCAATTTTAGTGCACACAAAATATTACCCATGCTTCTTGGGATAATATGGAAGATGAGGTGGTGCTCAATGAAAGGATTCCCAACATGTCAAACCTTAAAATTTGTCATTCTTGTAAAATGGTAAAAAACATTAATACTCAAAACTGTGGTCCATAGATGATGATTTAAAAGCCTTTACAGGTGTATACCTTAATTACTATCAACATAAAGGACAAATAGTCCCCTATGTGATATCAAATTTACAGTGATAGGTTCTCTTTAATGAGGTATCAGGGGCCTATTTGACCTCCTGATGTCTCTCGGCACTCCACTGAAACTGAGCCCAGACTGTGCTCTATTAGCAGGGTCACAGCAGCCAGGAAAATGCCAGCTCTGAACAAGGAAGCCACTTAGTTCATGTCACTTCTGGGTTCATTTGGCAGATGGAGAATCAGTGACAGGATGTTCATGTTATGTTCCAGTGCCTGTGGAAATTATCAATGTACACACACACACACACACACACACACTGTGGCATCCAGGAGTGCGTTTAAGGCTCCAATTACACTAGTGTGATTTGTCATGTGACTTTGGACACATAAAGTCACATAACTATGTATTCAACAGATGCCGTTCAAATCTATGTGACTTAAAGTCGCAGCAACTTTAAAATGGTTCCTGTACTACCTTAACTCTCAAAAGTCACATGAAAGTTGCATCTCAATGCTATCAAGACAATAGTTATGCAACAGTCAAAGACAAAGGCAACAGCCAAAGTCGCATCCAAGTCCCAGCCTTCCAAAGCTGCAATGGAAATTGCATGACTTTGGAGCCACACAAGTGTGAATAGAGCCTAAATGCTGCCAATGCCACAGGCATAAGCCTTAAGGCAGACGCAGCAAAAGGGTTAAACCCCAAAACAAACTTGTTATATGTTGCAGCTTACCAGTTCTTAGTTGTGGCGGCTGCATTCGTTTTCTTTTTAAGGCGTTTTCTCCCTATTTTCACCTGTTGATCCTGCCAGTAAGTCTGTTTTTTCCAACTTCCTTTAACACAACAAGCACTGGGTTTAACACAGCTTTGAAACCCTACTACCAGTAATTCCTTCTCCCTCCTTACAAACATCCCCTACTCATGTTGTCAAAAATTGTTAATTTTCTAAAAAGTCCTTTAAACATAGTGACATGAAATCCTCAGTCTTTCCTCAGGTCTCTGTGCTGGGATTTAGTGGAATATTTAACACAAAAGAGATGTTTATTGTGTGGAGACCCAAACATTCAGACTGTTTACTTTTTCAAACATAATTTTTTTTTTTACTAAGATAAACTACTTAATAAGAGGGTTCATCTTACAGCTTGGTGTTTAAAAACTGGAGACACCATCTAGACTTTAAGGGGTCGATTTATAAACATTTGTTGGATGAATGCGACAAGCATTCACCCATCCTAGACCGATTTTGATGGTATTTTGCATAATGAGGTCATTTCCTATGTTTGTCAGCTCCATCTAGTGGCTATATTACAGTATTTTTTCTGAGTGAGGTAAACAACACATTATAGCCATTAGATGGAGCTGATGATCATAGGAAATCATGTTCAGAATTAGTCAAGAGAAATAAATGCATGTCAAATTTGTCCAACAAATATTTAATATAGAGTATAGACCACATAGATTGCATATGGTGACTCCCTTATCCACGCCTGCTTAAAAAAAATCTAGTATGGTGGAAACATCCTTCTTGATATAGCTGACCTTATCACACCAGGTAGGGGAGACCCTCAAAATCTTCATATAGATCTTGCATGTGGTCACTTTATGACTTGGACAAAGAAGAAATACTTTATATGAGCATTCCTTTTCTTTAAAGATTTTCCATTCATGCTCTTAGGTGAAATAATTATAAATTTGGTTGTCACACACAACTCTCATTTAGCAGGCCTGGACGTACTGGCAAAGCTCATGGCTGGCGATTGCTAATACTAGCATTGCTGAGAACCAAGTTCTCTGAGGTCATCATGGTAACAATATAAAGTGGAGGAAATGCATTCAAATCTGCAGACATGCAAGGTGAGATAATCAGAGACTGCAAACAAGCTACAGGACATAGTCAGAGACTTCAGACATACTGTATGAGATGATCAAAGGCTGCAGACATTCTACATGAGATGGTCAGAGACTGCAGACATGCTACATGAGATGGTCAGAGACTACAGACATACGGTATGAGATGATCAGAGACTGCAGACATGCTATATGAGATGATCAGAGACTGCAGACTGCTACATGAGATGGTCAGAGACTGCAGACATACGGTATGAGATGATCAGAGACTGCAGAGATGGTCATGCTATATGAGATGATGATCAGAGACTGCAGACATGCTATATGAGATCATCAGAGACTGCAGACATGCTACATGAGATGGTCAGAGACTGAGATGAGATGATCAGAGACTGCATACATGCTATATGAGATATCAAGACAGACATGCTAAGTCAAAGATTGTGTGCATGCTATAAGAGATAGTGAGAGACCGTAAACATGCAACAGGAGATGGTCAAAGACTGCACACATGCTAAAGGAAAAGTGTAGTGACTGCAGACATGCTACATGAAATGAACAGGACTTCAAACATGCTACCAGAAATGTTTAGGGACTGCATGCATTCTACAGGAGATAGTCAGAGGCTACAGACAAGCTACAGAGCATGGCCAGAGACTGCAGATATGCTACAGTAAACTGTAGAAGACTGCAGGCATACAGCAGGAGATGGACACAAAAATAAAGAATGCTACGGTAGATGGTCAGAGACTGCAAACATTTTACAGGAGAAAGAACCTGCAGGCATACAGGAGACAGTCAGAGTCAACAGACATGCTACTGTTCAGAGAATGCATACACAGGAGATGGTCAGAGACAGCAGACATTCTACAGCTGTGGCTGGAGACATGCGGCAAGAGAGAGTCAGAGACTAGGGACATGTTAAACAAGAATGCTAGAGATCACGTTATTACAGTGTCTTAAATATCACTGCTCCCACTATTGATCGATGGACTCAAGGGTTGCACATGGGCCTTGAGCAGCAGGTTGGGCACCAGGGTTCTAAACAATCTCCCCTTCAGATGGTGTGTCCCCTTTTTGTTAGAAAAGTTAATAATCATGCTGTCCCAAGAGAAAACAAAAAACTGCATTAATGCATTGGACACGGTAAGCAGGGAATACAACACTGACCTATTCTAAACGCTAGAGGTTTTCCGTTATTTGAGCGCTCCTTTTCTCGGTGATGAGTTAGTACCTTCTGCAGCAGTACTTGAGCAATTTGCCTTTTCCTCATATGTGTAGACTCTACCAGTGTTATGGCTTCTGCCAAGCAAGCTCGATGCCCTTCCACCAAACCCTCATAAATTCGATATAGCAGACGCTCTTCTTTTTTTGCTAGAGGCTCTGCTTCTTGCTGGGTCAGCGCTGCCATGCACAAGTTCCTTCTGTTACTAGGCCAGGAGTCCATCTTTCGTGATGTAAAGAAGTAATTTCTGTGCTTTTGTATGGATGTTTGTAGCAGTGCAGCATTTCTATGAGAAATGGTAGAAACTGTCCATGCTACATTACGAAGATGGAAAATAGGAAATGTTCGCATGTTTGCAACAGAAATTGTCACCACATCAAATCGTGACGAATAAGAAAAGTGAAATGGGTTTGATGATTGCTACAGTGAAAGATTACTGGTGCCTTCTTCAACCTTCAATGCATGAAAATCTTGTGTAAGGATTTTCTGAAAAAAAAAACAAAAAACAAAACAAATTACTTTAGCAGCGAATGAAAACAAGCCAGACTTATCTAGGATGCACATGGACTTATATTTAACCACTTAACGGCCAGGTCTATTCTGACACTTTTTGTTTACAAGTAAAAATCAACATTTTTTGGTTAGAAAATTACTTAGAATCCCCAAACATTATATATGTTGTAGTAGATGCCCTAGAGAATAAAATGGTGGTCATTGCAATTTTTTATGTCACACGGTTTTTATGCAGCAGAATTTCAAACACAATTTTTGGGAAAAAATAAACTTTAATGAATTTTAAATGCATTAAAAACATGTCACACTTTAAAACTGCGCGTGCTCATGGGCTGGCAACAAACTACAATACTTACAATAATTTCCATAGGTGACGTTTTAAATATAAAATTAAATTGCTCTCAATCGGGGGATCAGACAAATCCTGTCTGGAGAGCAGAAAGAGCCTTGGGGGCAAGCTGCACATGCTCAGTTTGTGTGTGCATTGTTAGATACTTTTTTTTTTTTCTTGGGAGAGTGCATATGATCAGCACAGGGACATTCAACACTGTCCAAACAGAGGGTCAGGAGTCATGCAGCCTCATAGGACAATCAGGAAAGAATGAAAAACTACTACTACAAGCTTTTCCCAGTGCTCTGCTGGATACTGATAGAAGTCACAAGACTGCTCTAACTGCTGATGAGAAAAGTACCATCTTCAGTGAATGTACCATCTTCGGTGAATATCCCAGCAGCCCGGAAAAGTTTGAATATTGGCACTGGCTTTCAACTCTCAGTATCACTGGGAAGATCACCCAATCCCCGGCTACACACCTGATTATACCTGAGGGACCAGGGCATGTCCAGGAGCTTATGATACAATGCGCTTTTCATTAGCGCTTCCGGTGAGTGCGCATTCTATATGTTTATATATATTCATCCAAATGGAATCAGTATTCTGGGACTATATAGAAGTTTTTTGAAGATATCATCAGCTTTAAGAAGTTTATACAATTTTGGACATTTTATATCTTTGTACTTGTCATGACTATATGTTTCTCATAGATATTTGTATTATTTTTATTTCAATTTTATATGCTCATTTTCTGAGTAATATTTCTCAGTATTATTTGCGTCACAAAATGCATCAATCATACACATGCGTTTGGAAGACGACATTCATTATTCATTTAGCGCTGCACTATTTTTTATTGATGTTTTAAATATATTTACAGGTTACCAGTTTATAGTTACAGAGGAAGCCTAGTGCTAGAATTACTACTCTCGCTATTACATTAATGGTTATACCTCACATGTGTAGAGCGAACACCATTTACATATGCATGTGCAATCTACATATGCATTTGCTTCTGCGCAAGAGCACAAGGGACAGGGGCACTTTAAAAAACATTTTTTTTTTTATTATTTATTTTACTTTTTTTACACTGTCCCTTTAATTTTTTTTTTTTATCCCTTTTATTCCTATCACAAGAAATATAAACATCACTTGTGATAGAAATAAGGGATGACAGGTTCTCTTTCCATCTATAAGACAAAAATGGAAAAAAAACCCCAAAGCATTGAACTCATGCTTTACAAAAAACAAAAAAGGCAGTGTTTACATCTGCCAGAATCAAAAGTGATGTCATGGCATCGCTTCCAGTCCCCTAGAACATAAAGACGACCTTCTGGTCCGCAGCCAGTTCTATGATAACCTGGTGGCACTGCCAGATCAGATACCAGGCTCCCCAGTCAGCCAGAGAAGCACTGGTGGGCGGCAGGTGAGGCGTCCCCTCCCATCGCCTATAAAAGCAATCCAGCAGCTATTCAGCTGATAGGATTGCTTTTAGATGAAAATGCAATGTGGGCTGAAAAAAAAAAAATATCAGAGTTATGGCATACACCTGAAGCCATAACCCCGATATAACCACTTGAACCCAATCACATACATGTGGTGGTTAAAGAAGAATTCCAGACATGGTATATACTCACCGCCCACTTTATTAGGTACACCTTGCTAGTACCAGGTTGGACCCTCTTTTGCCTTCAGAACTGCCTTAATCCTTCATGGCATAGATTCAACAAGCTGTTGGAAACATTCCTCAGAGATTTTGGTCCATATTGACATGTGTTACTGTTGCCTTTCTATCATCTCACACCAGTCTGCTCATTTTCCTCTGACCTCTGAAATCAACAAGGCATTTTCGTCCACACAACTGCTGCTCACTGGATATTTTCTCTTTTTTGGATCATTCTCTGTAAACTCTAGAGATGGTTGTATGTATAAATACCAGTAGATCAGCAGTTTTTTTTAAATACTCAGACCAGCCCTTTCTGCACCAACAACCATGCCACTTTCAAAGTCAGTTAAATCCCCTTTCTTATCCATTATGCTGCTCGGTTTGAACTTCAGAAAGTCGTCATCACCACAGCTAGATGTTTAAAGGTTTCTGCCATGTGAATGGCTGATTAGCAATATGTGTTCCCAAGCAATTGAACAGGTTTACCTACAAAGGGGCCGGTGAGTGTATTTTTTAACATAGTTACATTGATCCAGCCTGGAACAATGTGTATATCATACCTGGCCAATACTCCTGGAACTTGGAAATCACTGAAGAAGAAACCAGCACTCTAGTGATCCCCGCTTGCTTCTGGGTCCCATGCTGAGTGGTCGGCCTGATGCATTGTCAACACAGGAGGTCAGCTGCTCAGCACAAGTGCCATTCAGAGAATACTTTGCATTTTCTGAATGAATGCAAAGCATTCTGTGATTGGACGAGGTGAAGAGGTGGGATAGTGATGCCGCCAGCATTATGACGCCTGTGCACATATGCCAAAGAGCCTTGCCTGGCTATTGGCTCCTGGCAGAGGCCTTCAGGCACATCTGCGTACATGCGGGATATTTCCCATGGTGATGCCAGGGAAGTTTTTGGACAAAGTTTTTAGCACAGATGTATGTGGAAATGCATACATTTGCAGAAGTGCTGCTTTGCAGCACATCATATGCTTAAAATAAAAAGCATCCAATTTAATGCGAAGGAGGGGAGAGGAGGCAGGCCACGAGGACACTAGACTAGGTATAGGGTGAATGTCCACTTTAATCTGTGCTGATTATATTTGTATGATTATATACATAATCTGAGACTTTGCAAATTATACAAAAGTTGGTAATTATACATACGTTTGGTAAAATTACAGCAAAATACAGTAGATATAAAAAGTCTACACGCCCCTGTTAAAATGTCAGGTTTCTATGATGTTAAAAAAATGAGACAAAGATAAATCATTTCAGAACTTTTTCCACCTCTAGTGTGACCTATAAACTGTACAACTCAGTTGAAAACAACAAACTGAAATCTTTTAGGTTGAGGAAAGTAAAAATAAAAAACTAACATAATATGGTTGCATAAGTGTGCACACCCTTAAACTAATACTTTCTTGAAGCACGTTTTGATTTTATTACAGCACTCAGTATTTTTGGGCATGAGTCTATCAGCATGGCACATCTTGACTTGGCAATATTTGCCCACTCTTCCTTGCAAAAACACTCCAAATCTGTCAGATTGCGAGGACATCTCCTGTGCACAGCCCTCTTCAGATCACCCCACAGATTTTCGATCGGATTCAGGTCTGGGCTCTGGCTGGGCCATTCCAAAACTTTAATCTTCTTCTGGTGAAGCCATTCCTTTGCTGATTTGGATGTATGCTTTGTGTCGTTGTCATGCTGAAAGATGAAGTTCCTCTTCATAATCAGCTTTCTAGCAGAAGCCTGAAGGTTTTGGGCCAATACTGACTGGTATTTGGAACTGTTCATAATTCCCTCTACCTTGACTAAGGCCCCAGTTCAAGCTGAAGAAAAACAGCCCCAAAGCATGATGCTGCCAACACCATGCTTCACTGTAGGTATGGTGTTCTTTTGGTGATGTACAGTGTTGTTCTTTTGGAATTATGACCAGAAAGTTCAACCTTGGTTTTATCAGACCATAACACATTTTCCCACATGCTTTTGGGAGACCTTAGATGTGTTTTTGAAAAATTTAGCCGGGCTTGGATGTTTTTCTTCGTAAGAAAAGGCTTCCGTCTTGCCACTCTACCCCATAGCCCAGACATATGAAGAATACAGGAGATTGTTGTCACATGTACCACACAGCCAGTACTTGCCAGACATTCCTGCAGCTCCTTTAATGTTGCTGTAGGCCTCTTGGCAGTCTCCCAGACCAGTTTTCTTCTCGTCTTTTTACCAATTTTGGAGAGACGTCCAGTGCTTAGTAATGTCACTGTGCACCATATTTTCTCCACTTGATGATGACTGTCTTCAGTGTGTTCCATGGTATATCTAATTCCTTTAAAATTCTTTTGAAATTCTACCTACCCTTCTCCTGACTGATACCTTTTAACAATGAGATCCCTCTGATGCTTTGGAAGCTCTCTGCGGACCATGGCTTTTGCTGTAGGATACGACTAAGAAAATGTCAGGAAAGACCTACTAGAACAGCTGGCACTTTAAATGATGGCAGGTGTGTACTGACTCCTATTTAACATGATTTTGAATGTGATTGCTTAATTCTGAACATAGCTACATCACCAGTTATAAGAGAGTGTGCACACTTATGCAACCACATTATTTTAGTTTTACATGTTTACGACCCCCCCCCAAAAAAAAAAAAGATCTCAGTTTGTTTTTCAATTGAGTTGTACAGTTTATAGGTCACATTAAAGGTGGAAATGATGTATCTTTGTTCATTTTTTACATCACAGAAACCTGACATTTCAACAGGGGTGTGTAGACTTTTTGTACCCACTGTACATGTTCATTTCTTTCACAATTTCATCCTAATGAAAGGAATGAAAGTATATGC